ATAATATAATATAATATAATATAATATAATATAATATAATATATAATATAATATAATATAATATAATAATTAATATAAATAATGAAATAAAATATGATTTATAAAAAAATGCTCCTTACATTAAATATAATAAATCATAATAATTAATGAAAAGTGGAAACTATCTTATTAATCAAAATATTAATTAGATATTCATTTGTTAAATTTTTAAATTTGATTTAAAAAATTAATTAAAATGAAAAAATTTTATTTTGTATTTGTGTATGCATATAAAAAATTAATTAATCTAATTTAATTTTAATATTAAAACAGGTGAAGACCAAGAAAATGTTTTATCTAAAAAGAGTGATGCTCTTCTCACTTCTCCCAGGACATCTTTACAAAATAATTCTGAACATTTAAAAGCAAATATTCTATCAGATAAAAATATTTCCTTGACAGATTTAGGAATTATTTCAGGCAAGAATAAAATAAAGCCACAAGAAGTTACTAAAAATTCTTTTCAAACTTCTACAGTTATTCCCAATCATTCTTCTGTCATACCATTAGATATGACAGATATCCCAATTTCTACAAATGAAACATCTAAAAAAATTTCGTATATAACTAATCCAATAGTTATACATACTCCAGTAAATTCTACCTTGTCTTCTCATACAACTGGTAAATGGACAGTTGTTAATGGAACAGATCAAATTTGTATTGTAATACAGATGTCTGTGATGTTTAATATCTCTTATGTCAACATTAATAATAAGGTTTGTATGAAAAATGAAGAATCTTATAGTTTACCATCAATTAATATAAATATATCACATTAGAATAGAAATATAAGTTGTAAACATTATTTATCAGCAATCAATTATTGGATTTCATATTCATTAATAAAATTAAAATTATTGGACATTATATAAAATGCTTATATAAAAATGGCATATCAGAGATGATATATATGCATTAAAGATTAAAATAATTCATGGCACTATGTTACTAAATTTTTAGAACAGTATCTGAAACAGTATCTGAATTAATTTGTTTTTTGTAGTTAATTTTTTTTATTAGATATATATTTTTATATATAATATCTTTTCTATATTTTCTATCTATATGTTTAAAAATTGTTTAATTTTTGTTTTAATTTTTAATTTTGACAAATTTAATGCTTTTTAACCAATCATTCGAAAAATCATTTATTTGCATGGATTTTGTCTTTTAATTATTTCGAATAAATAATATTTTATTATGTATTTAAAAAATATAAACAGAAAAATATATAATATGAGAAAATATAAAATTACTTTTAAATTTTTATGTAAAAATAAAATTAAAAAATTTTTTTATATCAATTTTTTATTTAATATCAATAAATTTTTATTAATTTTTTAATTATGTTAAATTATCAAATCTAATTTAAATTTTAATTGATTCATTAAACTCTATACATTGATTTAAAATATATATACATGTCATATGATAATGACGAAATTAAAATATGACAAATATATAAAATTATTATTTTATTTTTCAATTGTTTTGAATTTTATATAATTGTTTATATTTTATTATTTTAATAAAATAAAAAAAAATTATATTAAATATTAAAAATATTTTAATAATTATATAAAATGCATATATATGTAATATATATGTATATATCATACATGTATGATTATGTATATCTAGTACTAATCCTGATTTATTAGTTATTAAAAAAAAAAATTGTATGTGTTATTTGAGTTTTCTCACATTTGATATTGTAATAAATATTATTAATATATAAAAGTTCATTGTCTATGGATTATCACTTTTGTTATTTATATACATTATCTATATTATCATTTATTTTTTAGTTACTTTCAATATCTTCTTTACAATCATAATTGTAATACATAATTGTAAAAGAAAAAAAAAAATTAAGAAATATATAAAAATTATTATATTATGCCTTCAAATATGATTTATATAGAATAATGTAAAATGCAGAGTTCAAGATCATGTTAAAAAATTAGATTCACCAAGCTCGAACAAATTTAATGAGAATAAAAAATATATTATATATATATTTATAAATGTTATACACATTTTATGTCTAGTGAAAAAGTTTATTAATTCACATTAAATGAATTTTTTTAATTTTTTGCTATCAATGTGGGATTGTGTACCTTTGAAATATTCATAAAGAATATTGGTTGTTGCTTGCTTTTCAATTTTCATTTTTTAGATATTTATTTATATTATATTAATCTCGAAATACAACACTTATATTTTTAATATTTCAAAATTATGATTCAATTATTATTAACGTAAAAAATTAATTTTTCAGACATCTTTTATAACGTTCGATATACCGACAGATAATATTACTACCAAAGCAAGTGGATATTGTGGCAAATTGGAACAAAATTTGACATTAGAATGGTCTGCTAAAAATATAACTAATGGTAGTATGACATTGCATTTTATGAGAAATGCAACTGAAAATGATTATTCTCTTCACCATTTGGAAGTCTTTCTTCCAGCATCAGATTTTCCTTCAGATTCAAAATTGAGTAAGAAATATATTTTATTATTAACAACATTTTATAGCAAAAAAAAATATTTTTATATATCTATACTATATTCTTAAAAAATATTAAAATATATATTAACTTTTTTAACTTTTTAATATAGAATAATTCATATTTTTGTTATGTAAATAATATTAATATTTAAAAAGTAAAATTAAATTTCATTAAAAATTTTATTAAATAAAATTAAATTAAATTTTTAATAGATAAAAAAATTGTTTTCTTAATATATCAAGAACTATTTAATATATAAAAAAAAATTATTTAAGTGTAAAAAAAAATAATTTGAAAAATATAAAAAATAAATATAAATGTATAAAATGATTTTCAAATTATCTTGAAAACTTTGATCAAATTAAATCATTTCTTTAAATTATTATATTTTAAATGAAAAATTCTAGAAAGGAATATTTTATATTTTATGACATTAATATCAATAGTTATTGGTAGTCATTCAATTCATTTTGTAAAATTTAATGAAAACTTATATAAATAATAAATATTTTATTATATAATTTATATTTTTATCATATTTTAATATGTAATTATATATTCTTCTTAAATAGATGGATCAGTATCTTTAATACATGAAACACCTGATTTTGAAGTTAGATTATCCAATTCTTATAGATGTTTAAAACAACAAACACTCAATTTAAAACAGAATAATAGTAACGAGACATCTGGCTATTTAATTATATCAGGACTCCAATTTCAAGCATTCAAAGTTGATAATTCTACTGTGTTTGGTTTAGGTAATGAGTTCAATATTCAATATAATTGTATGTATTTAAAAAATTAATTTCTATATTTGTATTATATATTTAAATAACATTTTTTTAATATATATAAAAAAGTAAGTAATATTATTATTATGTCAGCTCATTAATTTTAAATTTTTAATTTTGTCTAATTTCTAATTTAAAGATAATAAAAATATAAAAATTTAATTAAATCAATAATATTTATTAATATTATTATTATTTTACAGCCAAAGATTGCGCTTTTGATACACCAGACGTCGTACCAATAGCAGTAGGCTGTGCACTAGCAGGATTAGTAATTATAGTGTTGATCGCGTACTTGATCGGTCGTCGTCGAAATCAAGCTCATGGCTATCTTAGTATGTAATGTTAATATGTTTTTTATTTTTAATTTTTTTCGTTGATTCAGTGAAAATTTCATTATTTAGTTTATATAATGTATTATAATGTTAGCTGCAAAACTTAAAAGAAGATATTTCCCAAAAATCATATAATAATTAAAAATTGCAATACGAACTTTTAAAAATATAATTAACAGGAAAATAAAAATATATAAAATTTATAATTTATTACATCATATTTACAATCATGTATGATGTCTCTGAATTATAAAACATTTTATTACATATTCAAGTAATAAAATAATACAATATGTAACATATAAACTATTATTATTATTATTATCCCCATTTTCATTACTATTGATTTAATTTATCTCTAAGATTGAATTGTTGCTAATAATCATATCAAATTTGCAAAAATCTAAACTTAATGTATAATAAAAAATTTTATAAAATAATCAATTGGTCGAATGAATAAGTATGAATGAATAAAACAAATGCAATGTTTCTATTTTTATGGTTTTAAATTGTTTAAAATGATTATATTGATGTTAATACTAATTTAAAAATCATTATATATTTATCATTATCATATTATCATATTTATTATTATATATAATTTAATCAAGGAATATTTTTTAATAGAAATTTTTTTTTATTTCAAGATAATTTATTGAATTATCAATGCATATTCAAAATTTTTTTATTTTTTATCTATAATTTACATATTATTTTCTATCTATAATTCTAAAAGAATTCTATTCAAAAACTAACCATCATGAATTTTTTTGAAATTACATTTCTCAATCAAATTCATAGTGTAAAAGACTTAAAAAATGTATTTTATAAAATTGTCTTTTCAAGTTTATATAGGTTTTTATGCTAAATTTTAATTTATATTAATATTTTTGATTGTAAATACTATATATTTATAAATGAATAAAAACTTTATATTATTATATTTTTATTAGTTTTAAAAATAAATAATTTATATATCACTCTTTATTTATAAAGATAATTTATAATTAAATAATAATACATAATAATTTAGTAATTTTCTGTTTTTTATATGAAAAAATATTTTCGTTTTATTAAAATATATTTTAACTATTTTAAATAATAAAAAATAAATAAGTACAAAATGATTTATAACATTCATAGATATAAAAAAAAATTAAAATAAGAATAATGATATAAAAATTAATATAGAAATAATTTCAATTTTTTTTCTAAATCTAAAAAAAACATGACGTTTGAAATTATTATTATTCTTATCACGAATGCAAAGCGATATTTGAATTTAGTTATCACGCGATATCACGAGATATTGAATTTGATAAAGGATTAGATGCTGAATTTGACGAAGAAATAAATTAATTATTTTTACTCAAATTTTTTTCTATAAGATTATTTAAAATTATGATTATGGTTTTACAAATTATTAGTTTCGAAAGGAATAATAATATTAATATAAAAGAAATAATATCATTCAAATATAATAAACTTATTACCGATTCACAATATTTTTTTTTATTATTAAATTAAAATTTGAAAAATGTCTATGTGCTTATATTCCTTTTCAATAGTAAATTAATAATATAAATATATATAATTACTTAAAAATTGTAAATTTTAATAAAAATTGATAATGAATTAAGTAATTATAGTAAATTATATATACATATTTTTTTTAGAAAATAATTATATATTAAAAGTTTTTGTGAAATAAAATATAAACTTTTTTTTGTCTAATCTAAATTTATCTAAATTTAAATATGTCGTTTATATCATTATCCAATTATTTTATGTGTTTTATTGATATGTGTTTCATTGAAATATAAATAATAAATACAATTAGATGATCATACAATTTAGAAATTGATTATTGTATCAATTGTCTATTGTGTATTGAATTATCTGTGTTCTGCTATGGTTGTAAGAAATATGTTCTACGTTTTCTAACAACAGATGACATAACCTAACCTATGCACCTGCGTATAGTTATGCATTAATATCCCCTCTACTTGATAAATAAATGAATACAGCTAGCAAGTTACCACGGAAAATTTACGTTAAAAGACTTGACATCTTCTTCAAACTTTTTCGTTACAAATCTGAGGTATGCTAATATTATTTATTTTTTACTTTTGTTGCATCTATGTATCATTTTATATTATACAATAAGGTTAATACTATTTTTTATTATTTTTTATTATAATTATATTCATAATGTTAAGAATTTATTTATAAAAATTATATAAATAAAAATTTGTAGTACAAACATTAATCTGGATTTTTTACTTTGAGTAAAATTATAGTGCTATATATTATAATTTTATCTTATATGATTTTATAAATTTATAATTCTTATTTTTTATATATTATTTTTATATTTAGATATATATTTAAATATATTCAAATTTATAATATTAATATTTTATTGATATTTTCTTATGTTTATCAATATTTCTTATACAATATAAATATTTTTTTACTAATTTATATATATTTTATTAAGATATGATATGGTTCTATTATAATTTATTTATATATTATTTATATATATTCTTTTATTATATTCTTTTATTATTATTCAATAATAAAATAACTAAACAGTCAAAAATAATCAGATTAAGTTTATGCAAAAGTATATTATCAAAATATTAATATAATTATATCAATGTAAAAAATCACTTTGGATTTCATTAAATTCATTTATTGTAGTAAAATTTTTTCAACTTATTATTATTTAATATATTTTAATATATAATATAAATGATATAAAATAATTAAAATGATATGATATTTAAAAAAGAATTTTCAATAGAATTATTTAATAATTGCAATTGCAATTTTGTTGTTTAAAATATTTTTATATTATTTTATTTTTATAAAATAAAAAATTATAATAAATATTATTTTAAAAGAAAAATATAAATTTTAATAATTATGTTTTTTAAAACACATATCAATAAATTATAATTTCAATAATATATATATATATATAATAATATATATATTTAGAAAATATATATGTACATAGAGTTTTGTTCTGAAAAAAATTTAAAAATAGTTGTAATTATATTTATAAATATAATAAAAATAATAAATTGATGTTAGAATAAATTATATAAATAAATCTATTATAGAAATTAAATAATGTAATTTTATTATTTTTTATAATATATAATAAAATACTTAATTTTGTATAAAATGTAGTTAATATAATTAATAGAATATAGTACATTTAAAAAATTTATCTATTGAGTAAAATATTTAAGAATCAATTTAAGTATTCATTTTATGTGATTTTTAATTGATTTTACTAAAAAATATTTAATAAATTATATAGTGTATTGCGTATAGTGTATTATGAAATAAAATAATTAAATAATTAAAATGATCATTAAAAAAATAATCATGAATTTATTATTAATAGCTTAAAATATTTATTTAATATAAAATTTGATAATGATAGTGAATTATTATGTAAGATATTTTTTGTATAATATTATATATGTATATTTTTTTTAGAATTAGAATACTAATTAAATTATCTTATTTATCTAATTCAACATTATTTATCTAATTGAACATATCATAAAGTTTTAAATTTTTTAACTTTAACTGATATTAATATAAAAATAGCATAATATTAAAATATATTACAAAAATCCCTTTTTTTTAATTTTTTTGATTTTGCATATATTTAATATCAAATTTCGATTGTATAATTTATATAATTTATCATTTTATACATAAAATAATATATTCATAGCAAACAACAAAATTGATAAAAAAAATATCGCAATATGAAATTCATTGCGATATTTTTATATTGTAACCTATCAATATTTATATTTTCTAACAGAATATTTATTTGATTAATACATATTCGAATTTTTTTATGATGCTATTTTTGCATATTTTTATCAAGTGAATATTTCAAGAAATCTAATATAATTTTAATATATTTTATATTATAGTATCTTATTAGTTATATTATTTTTAAAATTTAAGTTATATATATTTTTTTATTGTTTAAAATTTTAACAACATACATTCAAATATTTGAGAGAGTATTATTAGGCAATTAAAAAAAAATGTGAAATTTTAAATTTAAATTATGATCTTCTTATGTCTTTTTTTTTTTTTATATAATATTAATAAATATTATATTATAAACTAAAAATGAACAATGCAATATAGACAAAATTGATTAGACATTTCTATTTTTTTCATATTTCATATTTTTAAGTTATTTAAAAAAATAATCCATTTATTTTGTAATTAATCTTATTCTTGATGATATACTTACATAAATTATCAAAAAATGCTGTTTTATTTGCTGATAATTGGTGTATACTTTTTTATCGAGTAAGACTATATGTTTTTAATTTTGATTTTAGATTTATATGATGATCAATCTAAAACCATTATTTCAATATTATTATGAAATTCTATTTATATTTTTTAATTTTATATTTTGAAATATTGTCTTGTTGGAAGACAAAATTATTAGTAATATTTATAATATTTTTCATCAATTTTTCCAAATATTTATTAAAAAAATTGATATATTGCTCAAATATTAGTAATCCCATTAATTAATATTAAATTATTTTGGATTAAAAAAGTCCTATAATAGAATTTTTTTTATGTTTTTCAATGTAATAAAATTAATTTTTATATTTAATTATATATTTTTTTATTTTATTTTAATATACAAATTCTTTCTTTTTTTCTAAATTCTTTATTTTATCTTGTCAAATAATTAAATTTTATTCTTATTAACTTAATAATTTCTAGAATAAAGAAAGAATTTTAATAGAGAATTAATAATAAAATTTAATAATTAGATAGAAATACTAAATTATATTCTTTCTTTCTATAAGATTTGCAAGATCTCTTGCTTTTGATAGTATAATATTGGATGTTAATGAATGAATATTGAATAATAGATATATTATAAATATTTTAGATGTAAGTCATGTTTTTTTGATAGAAATTTTAAAAATTTTACAAGTATTATAAATCATTTTATCAAAAATTAAAAAATATATTGATAAAATTTATTAAATTAGATTTTGTGAAAATCTCAATTTTTTAAATATTTTTAATAAATTATGATAAATAATATTATTTATATTATTATAGAAAATAAATTATATTATTTATAAAAATCTATGATGTAATTTCATAAATTATCAAAATACATTATTAAAAAGGAAAATTTGAATGTCATATTAGTTAAGTGTTATACTATGAATTTCAATAATATCAGTATATCATATATTATTATATAAAAAATTGATGTAAAATTGATTATATAAAAATTTTGAAAATTAGTATTTATGTAAAAAATAACTTTGTTATATTTTCAGCATCATTACTATGATATTGTTCCATTTTCACCATTTCATATGCCCAGATTAGCAATAAAACAAATTTTTTTGAGAAATTTTTATGAAAATATATCAATATCTGAAAAATTATCCTGGCATAATTTGATGGGCAAATTCAGCTGCACAATGGCAAATTCAACTGCACAACAAAAATTAAATCAAGCATCAATGGAACCTTTCTTGGAAACATATTATAATTCTAGCAATGGTTATGAAATTCCTTTAACATGTCCATCAGAAAATTTAGCATGTGAAAGCAGTATGCAAACAGTCGTTCTTGGTACAGATACATGTGTTGAAACTTCAATGTCCTTGAAGGATAAATACATTACTGATAAGCAGAGATATAAAGCAATGAGAAAATGGAAATATTCTAAAAGAGGTAAAATTATTATTAATATTGTATATACAGATATATGTGTAAAACGAAATGTTTGGTATTCATTATATAATTTTTCCAGAAAAGCTGACTTCTAATTCTGAAGAATGTTTTATTTTAAGAGTATTATCCTTCAACATTTTGGCACAATACCTACTGGAAACATATCGGTTTCTATACAAAGAACATGACAAACAGGCATTATGTTGGGAGATTAGGAGGCAACTTCTTTTAGAAGAAATTTTAGCAGCACAAGCTAATGTTAGTTTCTAATAATTTTATATACATTTCTATAACATTGCTTTGCTATTGTTATAACTTTTCATTTCTATTACATTTCTATTACTATATATATATATATACTATTGCTTTCTTAATATCATATTCATTTCAATATTTTAACTTTAAAAATTAATAAAAAAATTAATTGATAACATTATAATAATTATTAAATGTGATAAAAAATAAAATATTCTATGATTATAAAGAAATATTTTATCTTTACAATATTAATATTTTTATAATATAATACTTCAGAATGTTTTGTATAAGAATTTAAATTAAAAATTATTATTTTATTATATTATTATATATTAATTATATAAAATAAATACATTATATATTAATTTTTTTTTTTAAAGATAAAATGTAATCGCAAATATATAAAATGAAATAATTATAATATAATTATAAGGATATGATGCAAAAATAAAAAAAAAATATATTTTTTCGTTTAAAGTTTCGTTTTTGATATTCGTATATAAATAAATTTTTAATTTGAATGAATAGAAAATAGATTTTTAATATAAAATATCGGAAATTTGTTACATACATAAAGGCTTAAAATTCTTTTTATAATTTTTGTTAAGATTATTTGTAATCAAATTTGAAAATTTTATTTTTTAATATTAAATTATTATTTAAGAATATTTAAAAAATGTATATTATTTTTCAGGTGATTTGTCTTCAAGAAATGCAGGAAGAACATCTGGAAGAATTTTTAATTCCATTCAAAGAATTGGGTTACAATTATTTATATAAAAGACGAACAAATGATAAAAAAGATGGATTGTTATTCTTTATCATTCTGATCAACTCACTTTAATAGATTATTCAAAAGTTGAGCTTTATCAATCTGGTATAGAATTGTTGAGTAGAGATAATGTCGGAATTATTGCAAAACTGGCAGTTAAAAAGAATCCTCAAATACAATTAGTAATTGCTACAACTCATTTACTTTATAATCCAAGACGAAATGATGTAAGATTAGGACAAACTCAACTTCTTTTAGCAGAAATTGAAAGGGTTGCTTTTCTAGAAAATACTATGTAAGTAATTGTAAAATAATTGTAATATAATTGTAAAATAATTGTAATATTTATAAAAAATATGTTTTGAATATACTCAAATATCATATAATTTTTTTCAATATAAGTTTTCAAATATGTATTATATATCCAGAAATTCTATATAACTCTTATAATTTTCTAAACTTTTATAATTTTTTTTGTAATTATATAAATCTTTAAATGTTAGCATTAAAAGTTCATATGTAAATAATATATAGGGATAAAAAAGAAATGAGAAAACTTAATTAAAATTTGAACCCGCGCATTTTAATTAATGATTTGGGGTTTTATATTAATATTTAAGATGTCTCCTTATTTATTTCTGATCATTTTGCACTTAATTAAATCGCATATAAATACAAATATTAAATATTGAATTAGCAAATGAGTTTTTTTTATTGAGATCTTTGATTTGGTTGCACTTATGATAATGAAAAAAAAATAAGAATGCACATGAACTGATATTATATTCAATACACATATGTGAATTATTTGAATAATTAACCCAATAAATTCATTATTAAATTTAAGAATTTACATAAGACATATGAATTTTCTGGATGTAATATATTATATAAATAATATAGAAGGATATGGTAAAAAAGAAATTAAATAATTTCATATTTAAATATTTTTTATATATGATATAATAATTAATATTGAATTTTTTCTAATGATTATATCATAAATTTTAACTATATTAACTATATAATATTAACTATATAATTATATTACTTAAGATGATTTTTAAATTTTATATATATTTTTAATTATTTCTATTTATTTCCATGTATTTCATAAAATATAGTTGAAACAATATTAATATTATTACTGTTATTAATATTATTACATTTTATTTTAGCAGCAGAATATTAATAAAAAAAATATATATTTCAGATAAATCATTTCATTTATTTAATTAAAGTATTTAATTTTTGTAATTTTGATAGGACGGGTTCCAAATATCTTCCAATTATATTAATGGGTGATTTTAATTTGGAACCTCATTCTGGAGTATATAAATTTATTGTTGAAGGAGCATTTGAATATCAAGGAAAAGGAAAAAATCTTGAACAAACAGAATATCGACCTTTATCAAATTCTCTTATTCCTCCTCGACTTTTTATTACTGATAATTGTCAACATTTTAATGTATTAAAACATAGATTACATGGAGAAGGGACAGATAAAGTAATGGTATGTTAATACTAATGAATAAATAAAAAATAAATAATTAAAAAAATATAATTATTCAATTGTCTATGAAAAAATATTAAATTGTTAATTTTTTTCTTCTTATGTTTTATATTCAAATATTTGAAATATGTAAATTTATAATTTTTTTATTTGATTAATTAATTACGTATTTAATTTCTCTTAAAGTATTTAAACTATTTAAGTACTTATTACTATTAAATACTTTATTTGTTGCAGCTGGAAAATAGTGAGCATCAAAAATTAGAAGAAAATATTTCAGCAAATAATTCATCAAATTATTGTGAAGTGAATACAGACACAACAAATCTTCAAACGATAGAAATTGCGGATGATTATCATGTAAAATTCTGTTCTGGTACTTTAACACATCCTTTTCATTTTAATAGCGTATACAAACATAAAAATTATCACGGAGAACGGGAAGTTACAACTAATCAAGGCGAATGGATTACTGTCGATTATATTTTTTATAGTGGTCTAGAACTTCTTGAGAAATATAATTTACCTACGAAATGCGAAAATTTACCTGCAATACCTAATTTTGCAGTCGGTAGTGATCATTTTTGTTTAGGAGCGACTTTTAAACTACATAAAAGCAAGCTTTAAAACTGTTAATATTATGTTAATATAGAGTGTTAATATATTCATGGAATATTTTTGGAAAGTGATTTTAGAGATCAAAACAAATATAAAATTTGATTAAAATTAAAGCTTATTCATCAATTTATAAGTAATTAAAATTTCTGTTGAATAGACAAAATGAGATGATAATACAACAAAGATAGAAATATCATATTCTATCTTCGTTTCGTGTTATCTTATGAAAACTTCAATTACTTATAATTCAATAAATAAATTTCAACCAATATTTTTGTATCAATTTTTGTATTTATTTTAGCCTCAAAAATCAACTTTCCAAAAATCTCACAAATATACAAACATTCTATATAATATAGTAAAAGTTGACTTGTTAACTTTGACACATAGAACACGTTTTTATATTAAACGAATAAAAAAAATAATATAAAAGATAATATACAAAATGTTATTTTGTTATAAAAAATTAAAAAAGTCGCTATTTTCCTTAATTATTAATGATAAAAATAGAAAATATTGTAGTTTACAATGATTTATAATATAGAATATGGTATGTATTGTGTAGATTAAAATATTTATGTAGGGTGTAAAGACTAAATTTATAATACAAAATTATTGTTCTTTATATATATTGATATTTTCATTATTATACTTATTTTTTTGATATTTTAGTAAATATAATTATATTTTTTTAAATATTTGCATCACAATATTTTTAAATTATAATATTTTTTGATTTGAAAATTTTTTTATTGAGGATAAAAAATAATTTAAAGTGAAATTTCATTTTATTTCATATAAAAATGTTTACATAAAAAAAATTAATTTACATTTATTTTAACTTAAACTTTCTAATAAATTATTAAATTAAAATTTATGAATAACTAATAAAAAATATATATAATATTGAATATATATTTTAAATAAATTTTATTAAATATTATATTATTATATATTTGAATTTTTTGATATTTAAATTTTTGTCTGCATACAAACAAGAATAGTAAATAATAAAAAAAAGAAAAAAAAGAGAAAAAAATAGAAATGACATAAGAATTGATTGCTAGCGTCATCTTTTGAATGTCAAAGACACTTTTTTAAATGCATGATAAGATAGTATGAAAAATGAGAATCAGCGTTATCTGTTGAATGTTTTAGAAGAATGTTTTCAGTATTCAAGAGATGGCGTTGACTCAATATTTATATTATTATCTTATCATATTTCTAAAGAATCGTCTTTAGAAGATGGTGCTGATGATAAATTTTATCTATTTTTATCTTTCTTTTATTATTTTATATTTTTTTGTGCGTTTTCATTTGTTCATACTAATCTTTCTAAACTAGCACTGATTATCAAATTTTTATTCTATCTTTGGCTTTTTCCCATTATTTATTTTTTTATTTGTATAGTTCTAGAAAATTTATATACTCAAGAGACGTTTCAATATTTAATCAATTTTATTATGTTCTTTATATTCTCTAACTTATTAATGAAAAATCTTAACAGACATTCTTTTTAATTTTTATGTATCATAAATACGTTTCATAATATGGGACAAAATCCCATTAATTCTATTATATGCTTAGTTTATAATAGCCTATAAAAAACAATTTTATCTATATGTAATTTCATATATTAAATAATATAATTTATTTATTGCAAAAACTTCATTCATTTTATCTTTTAAATATACTAATATAAACTAATTTAAATTATATTATTAATATTTTTTTATAATTGAAATATAATAAGGATTAATCCAATATATCACAATGATAAAATTCATTTATGTAAAATACCATGACTGACTTTTATTTATGTTTTACATTTATAATTTAATAACGAACGATACACAGTATTATATTATACAAGATTTATCAAATTGAAAAGTGCAGAGCATTTTTAAATTATGTATACATAATTTAATAGAATTTTTAATAATCAATTTAATATATAACTTAAAGAAGAATTATGCGATGAAATGATATTACAGATATTAGACATATAATGTCATGTTCTATTAAATGGTTCTACATCAAAATATATTTCAGAAAGCAATATTTAGTAAAGCAATATATATTTTGTTATAAATATTTGCAATTAAAAGTGAATATTATTTTAATTACAAGACCAAATATTTAAATATTTTCATGTAATATTTTTTCAAATTGATCAAATGTTCTTATATTAAAATATTTGATAACACCATATACATAGTAATAGTTAAATAAATTGAAAATATACATCTATAAGAATGTTGAAAACTTTCAAGTATTAAAGCTGTATCTTTAATCTATTGTAGAATAAAACATATTATAGAAGAATTGTAGAATAAAATTATATTTAATAGCTAAGATTCTATAACAAAGATTTAATTTGAAATATCTATTTTTAATCACAAATAATGATGATTATATTGTATTATATTTTAAAAATATTTAATTCGAATATCACGTCTTGTGATTCATTTTACGAATGTTATATTATAATTAGCAAATTAATATCAATGCTAGATGTATCAATGATAAACAGCACTTTTCATTGAGAAAGATAATGATTTAATTGGTCGTGCATTATTGAATTATTCATAAAAGTGTAAAAACATGAATATTGCCTTTTCTAAATAGATAAACAGAATAATAAATTTTGAAAATTTTGTTATTTTTTACTTTTAAATAAAAATTAAGATTAAAATTGATGATTCATATTTTTACATTAAGAATATAGTTTGAAATGTAATAATTTGTATACTGAAAATTATATCCATTCTTTATCATTATATTATATCAACTAAAACAATTGCATTCATAGTTTTTAGATCAAGTCAGATTCTTTGGTACTGAATGATTTTTCTTATCGTTCATACATATAACTATGAATATTCACATTTTAATAACAAAGTATATATGCAACTATATAATATATTCTTTTTCTTTAAATAGAAAATTATTGATAGTAATTGCATATTTCTGATAAAGAAGAATACATTATTCTTTAATCAAATATTTTAATATTTACGATTTTAGCTAAATTTCATTTGTTTATTCTTTAATTATGAAAAAAGTCTAAATTTTTAAAATAATATTAATTATTAATTTTCTTTTGGAAATAATAATCATAAATATTTATCTAAAATGTATAATTTACTATTAATTTTGACATGTTGTGTTTATATCGAAAATCAGGCTTTATAGATAAATCTATAGCATTTCGAACATACTATTCATTTTCACAATATGTTACATCCGTATTATTAATATTTGAGTTTTAATTTTACACGTTTAGTTGCTTAAAGTAATGTCTGCAAAACACTGACATCATTGAGGGCGGAGCATCAATTTTACATAACAATTTTTCTTCTCTTTCCGTTAATTTTTCTAAAGCTAAAGTGTATTCTCTGTCAAAAACACCTGAAATAAACAAACAATTATAATAAATAATAAAATAAATATAACATATATATTATAAATAAATAATAAAATAATAAATAATAAAATAAAAAATAAGTATGATTTAATTATAATTATTAATTATTTATAATATAATTATTATTTAATATAAAAAATAAATATGTATGTATTTATTTAAATTTATATATAATAATATTTGTATTATTTTTATTTTTAAAAAGTTATTAATTTTTTTGTATAGATTGAAATGTAATATAATAACAAAATGAATTATATTCATTAAATTCTTGATGTTGGTTAATTCTTTAAAAAAAAGAAAACGAAAATGTAAATTTAAAAAATTAACATTCAATATATATATTATAAATATAAATTATAAATATACGTATCATGAACTTTCTCCCGAAATTGAAAAATAAAAATAAAAATAAAAGTTTTTCACTTATTCAGCTTTTCTTTTGTATACACGTTCAATATAACTACTATTATCAGTATACATAGTCATTTTAGATTTTATTTTTCACTGTTTTAAAATTTATTTTATTATCATTAAAAAATCAATATCATTTACGGAGATATGTTTTTGATTTTTAATGTCACATTGAATGTTTTGATATTAATAATAAAACATTTCCATAAATTATATTTGTAATAAAATTTAACTATCTTTTTTATTATATGCGTACGGTAAATTGAAATATAAATAAATATCTAAATAAATAAAAAGAATGAAATAAATCCTATCTTATAATTTAATAAAAATTAGCATACTTTGGTCAATATTTCCTCTTCCCAAAACTGTAAATGCCAGAAACAAAATATCTCGATATATAGAAAATAGCGGTTGATTAGATGATTGATTTTTACTTCTTTCTAAGGCCACTCTTTTTATAGGTTCCGCTAAATCATTTCGTCGAACGTTCGTAATTACTGATTGCATTAATCTAAAATACATAAAAATAATATTTATGCAATTATGAAAATGATTGAATCATTCTATAAAATAAAATAAAATAAAATGATAAATAAAAAATTATAAATGGATATAGAGTAGATTTTTATAAATAAGAATTTTTAAAGATCTTTCATTCGTTAATAATTATTATAAATAATAAACAAATAATTAAAGCATAATAATCATGCAAATGAACGAAAACTATGTTACTTATGTTCTTGATTTAAAAAAGATATTAAAATATTAAAATCGAAATATTTCTACGTTTAAAAAAATTAAAATTTAAAATTATGATGATATTTTATTCTATTAAAGAATAATTAAATATTTCTAAAATTTAAAAAAAATATTTATGAAAAATTTCGATAATTTTTTAGAATCTTCGTATATAAAATTTTTTTATAATAAAATTTCGAAATAATGAAAATGAAATTTAAAAATATTTCTTTATTTATTCTTATTCTTTGATTATTTGATTTTTTAATTTCTTTGATTTTCTTTTTTTTATTTCTTGATTATTAAATTTTTAAAATAAAAGATTTTTATTGATGAAGTTTCATTCATATTTGTATATTATTTGGAAAATATCAGTTGTAAGAATAACTTGAAAAAGAAAATTTCTATTTTAAATTTGTAAAAATATAGAATATTTAGGATTTTTCTTTAGGCATTAAATGATATGCTGATATCTTAGTAATGTTTCTAATCGTATTTATATTACCATTATCAATATTATATCGATTCAAATCGATCAATAATGAAATTATTAATAAATAAATTATTATAAATAAAATACAATAAAATAAAAATCTTTTTTATTACTAATGCTGGATAGCTATATATATATATATATTATATATTTTATTAACACTAGGTTTATGGACGTTTCTTATACACTTAGAGAATTTCAATATTTCAACGCTTTTGAAGAAAATAAACTTCAATATATATTTATCTCGATCAATGGATAAAAGTCATTACAAGAGATAAAATAAAAATGCAAACGTGTTTTGTAATTTTCCTTATAAAATTCGAAATGCGTCAAAATGACGCGTCCCGTAAACCTAGTGTTAATATAGAAAGTTTAACTTACGTTTTGTCATCTGCAATATTTAACTTCCATTGGAGATACATAGGTAAGCGATCCATGTGAAGTCTTTCATTATCCCACATAGTTTTGACACCTACAGCATTATAATTCATGTGTTCTTTCTTCTTATCATTGCTTAGCCACAGATCAGGAAGATGACTCGTTAAATTAATTCTTTCGAAATACCATATAAGATTCCAATATACTATTGGATGTTCCTCAATAAACTTATGTTTAATAAGACACGCATCACCCTCTTGACTTAAAACACTTTCTAGTTCTTTTCTTAAAACTAGAGGATTTAAGTATGGCACCGTAATAGGTTCTAATAATTCTCTTGGTTTATCTAATAATTCAACCAAAGCTCCCATTAGAGGATCACTTTTCTTTTCATTTTCCTCGCATCTTTATGAGCAAAAAAATAATATAAATAATATACATATGTAATTTATAGAAAAAATTATATTTAAATATCTTTGTAAATTTAACATACCTATAATCTAATATTGTAATAGTAAGTAGAGGTACTGTTGCTTTATCACAGTACTGACAAACTGTATTTAAATTCGAATCTTCTGGCTGCCAACCAGCCATTATTTCTTCATCATAAAGAATAGTGGCGCAATGATGACATCTACTTGCACTAGAGAGTACAAGCTCAATAGCAATCCGATCTTCTAATTCTCTCGATCCTTTTGGATATAAACATTCAGCTAAATCGTATAACGCATACGGATCTAGATTTCCATCTCCTATTTAAATAAGATAGCGAATTGTTTGGAATTCATATGTATATACAAGATAAGAAGGCCGAATTTTATCCTTCAGTTTATTAATAATAATAAAAAATCAAATCATGTTAACAAAAGATATATTCTATTTATGCCGATTTTGATGAAACAGATGCCGATTTTGAGAGAGTGTTAAAGAATTAAAATTCGAATTCGAAAGTTTAATGAAAATAATTAAATAATATTAAATACTAAAATATCATACAAATATAATGTCTTGTGAAAAAATTCATTAATTCTTTTTAATCTTACTATCAATGGATTAAAAAAACTTTTGGAACATTTATGAAGGATTTTGTAAGTTTTGTTTTTATAATTTCAATATTTGCTTATTACAATACAATGAGATTTAGATAAGCAAAAACCCGAATATAGTATAAATATTCGGTAATCTCCATTATTGCTAGAAATTTTATTTGACATTATGAATATCATTGATATATTATTGTGATTCTTGACTTTCTTTCTCTTTCATTCATTATTTTTTTTTCTATGTTCAGCAAAATATAAAAAAAAAAATTATCTTGAGTTATATCAGATTTTAATATCATTTTTTAAATAAATATATAATTTGAAATTTGATTTTTTTGACACTTATTCAATATATACTATTCTTTAATACCGCTAATTTCAATTATGTGAAAATTTTAAAAACTTATTACACATACAAAAATTTTATTGTATTTTTTTAATATTTTGTTAATTAAAATAAATTTTTATGAAAATTTGAATACAAATAAAAAAAACATTAGAGGGACATTATTCGGACCTCTTACCCTATAATTTTTTATACTTCTTTCATTTTTTTTGTTATATAAATAGAAAATTTAATTTTTACAAACCAGTTATTTTAAGAGGTTCATTTCTATCTTGTAAAGAACCATCCGTCATAGAATCCAACGATTCATGCGATGCTCCATGTGTTATTTTATATTCGCGTTCCTTTAATTTCACTGGAGTACTTGTTGCAGAAATAGCTTCCTTAATTTCGTCAAATTTTTTAACTACTGTCGTAGCAGCAGATTTTAAACTATTTAAACCACCAAGTATTATTTCATTGGATTTCTTTCCCGTCAAACTAGTAGGACTGAAACAAATAATTTTCATGATAATAATTTGATATAATTAATGTTAATAAATAGAAAATAATCTAAAATTTAAAGAATTAACAATTTTCATCAAAATAAGTGAAAAGAAATTGTTATAAAACCTAAAATAAATTTTTTTTAAAATTAAAATATTTATGTTATTAAATTATTTATTAAAAATTAATTTTTAATATTTTAAAATTTGATAAAATTGAATTTTTGTTTCTATAAAATAAAGAAATAGAAATGGAACAGGCACAAAAAAAGAATTCGGGTTTCTTTTTGAATTTTTTAGTCAAAAATTAATTTAAAAATATAATCTAGATATCATAAATATATTTAGTAATTGCATAATTATGAATAAAATAAATTCATGTTGTACAAAAGTAATATATAAAAAACCATTCAATTGAAATCTATTGAATTCTATGAAAAGATGATTTTAATATCTTTGAAGCGAATAAAGCTTTAAGGCTTTATGTGATTTATCTACATCAATAAATTATAAAATTGACTATAAAATATTTATTAAAGTTCTTTTTACTTTCTTCAATGAAAATTGAAAATATTTGTATAAACTCCTAAAAATCATTGATTATTTTACTATCTTCAAAATAAAAATATCTTCTTATAAAAATAATGAAATTAATTAATCTTATTGAAAAAAGTATTAAAATTTTATTAATATTATTATTATTAATATCATACTTTTAAAAATAGATTTTGAAACTTTTTCTTTTACATTTACATTATTTATATATTTTCGTTATTTTTTTATATTATTTTTCGTATATAAAAATTATTTTATAGATATAATAATAAATAATAAAAATAATATAATAAGTATATAAATATTTATATAAATATTTTAATTATAAATTTATATATAAATATTGTGAAATATTTTATGATAATTAGGATAAAAAATGGAAGAAAGCAATTCTAATTGGATCGACTCTATGCTTTGTAAACAGCTTTATTGAAAAGATATAAGTATATTGTGGTATTATCTAGAGAATATCAATGGATAGTTTTTTAAAATATTAATTATAATTTTAATTATTCTAGTTTTGAAAAGTAAAATTTGAATAAAAGAGAATAAAATGAGAATAATATAAACAATCAGATATAATAACTATTTAGAAAAAACATTATTTTACCGATTTTTATGACCTTGAAATTATTGTTAAGGTCATTAAAATGGAAATGGTCTTTTTTCTAAATAATTATCGAATTTGTTTATTACCACAGAGACAACATATCTTCAACATATCTAGTTTGTGATTAAATATTGATTAGTACTATGTTACAAAACCAATATCTATGAATTTTAAAATAATTTTAAAATAAATTTTAAAATGTGCATTTTTTTAACACTCATTTGATACGATGATTCTTTTAATTTATATTAATAATAATTTTTTTTATTTTTACTCATCAAATACAACTAAATAATAGAAAAATAAATAAAAAATGTCTCCTAAAACGAAGTTTAGCCCAGGTGATTACTATTACACAGATTACATTATAAATGTCGAAAATTTAGAGAGACTTAGACTGTGAAAGTCACTTTCAACACCTGTTTTAAAAAAGAATATTTTGCGGCGGATGATGCAGAGACAGTATCGACCTTTGATGTCGTTATTATGTTACGATCGGACGAATTGCAGCTACTGCTTTAGGGGCTTCTAGCGAGAGAATCACCCTGTATGTTGGGCCACAGGCAAAACGGTTGAGAACCGCTGTGTGAAATTAAATATTGAAATTGTGAAGAGTTAATGGATAATTTGTAGGTTTATGTTAGTAAATAATAATAATATCTGCCTTACCCGAAGCTCAGTTTCAAACTCGAACCTAAGCTTGAAAGACTGGAAGTAACGCTGTCCTTTTGAGACCAAAGACTGCTTATTTCTAATCGTTCTCTTTCCTTATCCTGTTCGCCTTGCTGTGCAACAGAATGTGGCATAGTTTCACTTCTTTGTAAATGACCACCTATCGTTACACCAGTTTCATCTACTGTTTGATGAAATGTTGCACTACGAGGCAGAATATTACTGTAATATAAATGACAATTATAATAATGATGTACACGGTGTGACAAGAAAATAATAAGATCGAATTTATCGATATATTTAGATACAATACAATACTACTTTACGAATTTTTTGTATATTCTTAATATTTTAATTTGATTAGAATAATATTCATAAAATTAAAATTTAAATTTAAAAAACAATTTCTTTGTTGCATAAATGACATTCAAAAGTATTTTAAATATAAGGAAATTAAATGTAAATAAATTCGAAGAATTTTTAAAATCTTTTGAAAAATTATGTCATTCTTTATCTAAACTTTACATTATTTCTGAGAATTTTTTTTTGCAGAAAAAAATAAATAAAAATATCTTGTACATTTTCTTGTTGTTCCGTGTTGTAATAGTATTCTTGTTGTAATAGTTTTTAAAATGTTTAAATTAAATTTCAAGGCATTTTTCTATTATTTAATTAATTTTTAAAATATACAATTATTCTTAAAAATATTTGAATATTGGAATTTATAAAAACAAATTGAAAAAAATGTACTCTGAATTTGCAAGAATATTTGGAATGAATATATTGAAATGAATACAATGAATTATAAACTTTATTTTAAAATAAAACTAAATAATATGTTTTTTTACAAAAATATGATCTAAATTATATAAAGAAACTATTTTTGTAAAAGGAAGTATTGTTGTAAGCATTGATTTTTTATATGAGAATGATAGAAATCTTTTTATTGAAAAGATAAAAAATTTTTTGAATATAAAACGATAGAAATATGATAAATATTTACTTTAAAAAATTAAAAGTTTTAAAAAAAATGTTTGAATTGAATATTTCAGACGATCATGTGAATGAAGAATGTTCGACTATTGAAAATTTAAAAAAAAAACTGTGTGAATTAAAAATTTATTAAATGAGAAATAGAGCAGAAAAAGAAAATATGTATATACATAGATTGTAGAAAAATATACTTGAAATCATGAAAAGTTAAAAGAGTTAAGATATCATGAAAAATAAAATTATGATCATTATAAGACGAAAATTCGTACAATTAAAATTTAAAAAAAAAAATAAAAATAAAGTAATTCATTCGTTTTTGCTTGCTATATATGTGTGTTTTTTTTTATATATTTTTAAAATCACGATTTTTAATTTTTATATTCATTATTCTATTAAATAAATAATTTTTTGTTTTATAAGAACTAGTCTCATATTTTTTATAGCCGATATTTCGAAATATTATTTTTAACTTTTTATGTTGAATTCTTAAGAAATCTTATAGTAATTTTAGAAATTACTATAATATGCTCATGCATAATTTATTAATTATTTAAAAAACTTACCTTCGAAATAAAAGTGGTCCTCCTGGTCGTTCTTCGGCATTATTAAAAACAGTTAAAGTACTTGTTGAACAATTTGAATCATTTTCTTCAGAAGGTGAAACAATCGGAGTTTCATCATTAATTAAAGCGCCTAACGGATCATTTTCTGTGACCGGTGTACGAATAGGACTTTTTAATGGCGATTCTAAGTTTCGAATTATTCTGGAAATAAAAAAGAAATACATAAATAGATATAATTTCTTTTTTTAGAAATATATAGCTCAAAAATAAAAATAAAATTATCATAATTTAAATTATTACCTCTGATTTAAATTATCCAATTCTTCTGTTTGTATAACATTTAATGCTGCGGAATCTTTAACAATACTATTTTGTCGTGGAAGTTTCTTTATTTCAAAAGGTCCATATTCTGGCAGATCTGAGACAGAGCTTCCTTTAGTAGCTACCAATATTAATAATAATAATAATAATAATAATAATAATAATAATAATAATAATAATAATAATAATAATAATAATAATAATAGATGATGATGATGATGATGATGATGATGATGATGATGATGATGATGATGATGATGATGATGATGATGATGATGATGATGATGATGTTGATGATGATGATGATGATGATGATGACGTTGATAATAATAATAATAATAATAAAGAAAAAAGAAAAAAAGAAAAAGAAAATGAAAATCTATTTCTAGAAAAAGAATAATTTAAAAAAAATAATACTCACAATCGCTATGAGCGGCTTCTGTATCTTGAGAATGAGAACTATCAAGACTAGATCTAGAAAATGCATGTTCCATACTTGTAGTTTTGCCATCAATAGATAACAATTCTGCATTTGAACTTAATCTTCTTCTGGCACTTCTTTTACCAGCTCTTTTAAATAGAGCAGCTCCAACTATGGCATTTCTTAATTTATTCCACATTAACTGACTGGAATTTGTCATATCAGATGGCCATGTTGCTTCAAGTACAGCCTAAGCATAACAAGAAAATATATTTCGATTTTTTATATTTCTAAGATAATATCGCTATTTATTGTACCTTATTGTAAAATCCATAAGTGAGTGCGTTTGGTTGTACTCCACTACGTTTCATGTGAAATAACAATTTTACAGCTAAAACAGGTTGCCCATAGACGCCACATAATTGCATCATAGCTCTATAGCAAATAATAATAATAATAATAATAATAATAATAATAATAATAATAATAATAATAATAATAATAATGAATGATGATGATGATGATGATGATGATGATGATGATGATGATGATGATGATGATGATGATGATGATGATGATGATGATGATGTTGATGATGATGATGATGATGATGATGACGTTGATAATAATAATAATAATAATAAAGAAAAAAGAAAAAAAGAAAAAGAAAAATGAAAATCTATTTCTAGAAAAAGAATAATTTAAAAAAAAAATAATACTCACAATCGCTATGAGCGGCTTCTGTATCTTGAGAATGAGAACTATCAAGACTAGATCTAGAAAATGCATGTTCCATACTTGTAGTTTTGCCATCAATAGATAACAATTCTGCATTTGAACTTAATCTTCTTCTGGCACTTCTTTTACCAGCTCTTTTAAATAGAGCAGCTCCAACTATGGCATTTCTTAATTTATTCCACATTAACTGACTGGAATTTGTCATATCAGATGGCCATGTTGCTTCAAGTACAGCCTAAGCATAACAAGAAAATATATTTCGATTTTTTATATTTCTAAGATAATATCGCTATTTATTGTACCTTATTGTAAAATCCATAAGTGAGTGCGTTTGGTTGTACTCCACTACGTTTCATGTGAAATAACAATTTTACAGCTAAAACAGGTTGCCCATAGACGCCACATAATTGCATCATAGCTCTATAGCAAACCTAAAATCGATATTTTCTACGGTAAGATTCGTTAACATAATTTAATTGTAAAAAAAATATTTTAATACGTAAGAACGGAAAAAAAATTTACTTCTTCAATAGGATCAAGATGTAATTTCGGCATTTTAACTAATAAATCATAAGCTTGATGTAAGATCGTAGCTGGTTGATTGGAAGTCTGTAGCATAGCCGGTAAATGCAAAAACCAAGACTATAACAAGTTCCAAGCAGACATCTACCCCATCTATCTGGCATTGCTGCCTAGAAAAACATTTCAAATTATTATATAAAAAAAAAATAAAAAACTTTTATATTTTTTAATTATAGAATTGTAATATTAGAGTAAGATTTTATTTAAATAATATTTTCTACTTGATATAATAATTATAATATAATAATATAGATTTCCAAAAAAAATTCGTTATTGCAATTTACTAAATATATTAATATTATAAATTAATATTGAATGTGCAATTTTATTCAAAATTTAATTGAAAAATATAATTTTTAGAGAATTTATTTACTTGTTTACGTGCCATCCTTTGTGCCACTTTAATTTCATGTTTAGTTCTACGTGCCATAGGACTTCCTGGTACTATTCCAAAGGCACTTAAATCTGGATTTCTTATGTTGAAATTTTTTTGTGGTCTTATTAATTCAGGATTCAATTTAAATGTACGATATATAATCGGTAGCTGATTTGGGACAGATTCAGGAGGAGGTATAAATACTGTTCGTTCGCTATGTTGAGATTCATCCAATTCCAAAAGAGGCACTAAAATATGTATTTTAAATTTAATAGAATTTATTTTTTAATATAAATAATTATCAATTATTAAATTAATTAATTATTTGTGATATTATTTTGTGATTGTATATTTGTAAATTGATAAAAATATTCTCACCGTTTTCGTCCTCAACACGTTCGGTACATTCGTCAAAAAATGCTAAACCTGCCATGTCCATATCAGATACAAAACTTCTTTCTTCTATAAATCTAAAAAAATATAAAAGAATTTGATATGTTATAAAAATATCAATCTTAATGATATGAAGACACGTATAGAAAAATTACAAAATTCTTTTATAATATCATTTAAATAATAATAGAAAAAAAAGAAAATAGAAAAAAAAAATAAAAATAAAACATATTTTATTAGCGATTTATCTCAGCATACTTATAAACATACCTGATATATTATTACAAAAATAAAAATTTATTAAATTTGTTAAATTAAATCTCATTATAAATAAATCTTGTTGTTGTAATATATGTGTATTCAATATACTATATAATTTATAATTTATAATATAATTATTATATAAATTATGTTATTGATTGTCTGCACATAAATATTTTTCAAGATTAATTTTTTGTATTTTTTGTGAATGCTTATAAAAAAACACATTTTGTAGAATTAATAATTTTTGTCTTTAGCCATAAAAAATCTAGTCTAATCATAAAATTTTTAATGACTTATTTTAAATTTTAAATTAATTAATTAATGTCCAAATATTGTATTTCATCATATTGACCATTCGTAAATTATGATTGACTCGATGAATAGTTAATCGTTATAATTGAAAAAAGTTAAAAAAAAAAACTATAGAAATAATAAACAAAAAGATACAATACATTTTTAAGATATATAAAAACAAAAATTATATTTAGAATCAAATAAAAAAAATAATAAGAAAATTTAAAATGATGATAATGATGAAAAAAACATTTTATGTAAAATAGACCATAAAAAACGAGAATATTGCTATAGATGTAAGGAAATATTTAAATAAGAAAATTTATGTAAAAAAAATTGAAAATATTTTACGATAAAATAAATAGCATAAAAGAATAGTAAAAAAATTCTATTACTAAAAACAAAGAGATTTTCCAATTTTTTGAAAAACAATTGTCTTACATAATTAAATAATAAAAAAATGATCTATTTTTCTTTAAATATTAATTTGTCGTAGCAAATATAAAATATATGATATTTTTACGATCCATTGCGGTAAATATAAAATTATTGTATTTTTATATAAATTTTTATATATAAATAATTACAAATAAAAATAATAAAAAAATAATTATAATAATTTCATCAAAATAGAATTGTTATGTTTTATCTCAATTATCTCATGAGAGTCGCGATTTAAACTAAAAAACATTATATTAGAATTTACAAGATAAACAAAATGGACAATTTTCAATATTATTCACTGTATATATGTTAAGAATCTTTAAAAGTTTTTGTATAAAAATAGACACTTTATATAATATATAATATATAAAATGCAATAAATAAAGTGTTAATAATTTTTACCAGATCTCTCCATCAGAACAATATTGTATAATCTATATTTGTAAAAACATGTTATATAATAAATTTGTTTTTAATTTTATTATACATTGAACATTAATTATATAACTTGTTACTAAAACTTAAGCTGCTTCTATATATAAAACAAAATGTAACAATGTGAAATAATGATTGCTTTTCATTAAGCTAAGATAAAAAGTTAAGATTTTTAGCTAAGATTATCCAAATATTCAAATAGTCAAAATAATCATTACAATCTAAATTCCATCTCGAAAATCAATATAAATGAATATATAACTTCAGAATTGTTATTATTCAACTTAGAACTCTAGAAACTATTAGAACTTGATCTATTAGAACTATAATCTGAATATCCAAGTGCTCAAGAAATATAATTGTATTTACATATCCAGATAATAAGAGTTCTGTCAAAATTAATTAATGTATTTGAATTATATTTATGTATATTCAGATATTTAGATAAAATAATTATTAAAATTCGAATTGATTCAAGCAGCAATAAGAATACTATAAAGAATCGATATTCAAATATAATACTAACTAATAAATATAATACAAACTAATAAATATAATAAATAGTTTGTTAAATTAAATGCTATGAATTATATAAGAGAAATTAATAAGAACAAACCTTATAAACATTTGCGTTTTTACTAACATACTATAAAATTTTGCATGAGCTTTGTCTCGACTTCTGAGAAACGCTAATATGTTGAATAAACTAGTTGGATCTGTAGAACCAACTGTTGGTGCTTTTGTAATTGGTAATAAAAAAGCGCGGTAACCTTTGAGTATAGTAGCAGTAAATCTTAAAAAAGCGTCTTGTATTTCAAGCTCTAAAGCTTGTTCTTTTCGTTTTTGTTGAAATTCTTTGTCCACACTGAATTCTTCATCCTCTGTATCTAAAAATTAAATTAATTAAAATACTGTAAAAAATAAACAAATATAAAAATAATAAAGTACAATAATAAAGTACCTTTCATGGATGAATAACTTTTGCCCAAAGAAATCAATTTTGAATAAAGATGTTCTAACCAATTTCTAAGTTGTCTAGCTGCTTTTTTCGGTAATAATTTCACATTTAAATATTTTTTGTCATCACAAATCGCTATATTATTTGTGTCTAAATTTACACAATTAACATCGGAAGGAGGATCATATAAATCGAAAAATCTAGAATCCACACCAATTAAAAATGGCAATGGAGCATGTAGAACCTACAATTGCAAATATATTATTACCTTTGTCGGTTTAAAATTAAACCGATAAAATAAAATACGTTACTTCGGCCAATCCAAGAGGACACAAAGGTATGTAAGGACATTGCCACTTAAATGGAAATAGTATCATAGCGATTGCTTCGCTCACCGATGTAAGTACATCAGGACGTAATGAATGTACAAGTATTTTCTGTTCAGTAAGGATTAATAATAATATAAGTAAACAATTATCAGGCCCTAAATTGATGAGTAACTGTCGAAAACTGGCACCCGATCTAGGTAGTGCCAAATCTTCTGGTTGTGTCAAAATCAATCTGTTCTTAGTACTTAACTGCACAAGAATTCTGGGTCTCTGCGGACTTGGAAATGGTATATCATACAAAAAATATGCTATATATTTTTCAATAGGAACTGATTGAGGTTTGTTATTACACATGCTATGTAAAAAAACTAAAAATTTTTCAAAAGTATCAAAAAATGGCCAATGTGATAAGATGCATATAGATTTACTAATATTCAAAGATTGTGTTGCAGGATTTGTATATTGCAACTTTTCTAATTGCGATTCTGTAAGCTTTTTGAATATTCCAGATTGTTTATATGTTTTCATTTTTACTTGTTGGTAATCAATATCTGCATGTTCAACTGAAACAAAAAAATAAGAAGAATTTTATATTTTTGGCAAAAATTGTTATTTTTTTTAAGAATTAAATTTTTTGCTATCTTATCATTTCGATGTCAAAACTCGATCGACTATTAAGTTTCTCTATGAACAAACCAAATCCTATAAATTTTTTCATTTTTGCAATTTTCATTTAATCTTTCAATTCCCATACTGGTATAATTATGTTCTCTTTCGTAAAAATGTTTTAAGGAAATGATTCATAAGAAATTAAGAATTACAAATTTTAAACATAGAATTTTGACAATATTCATAAACGAAAATATATATATATATATATATATATATAATAAA